TGCTTGTGGATGAAGTAAACTTAGCTACACCGGAATGTCTGGATTCTTTGGTGCATTTGATCGAAGATCAGGGAAGCACGCATCCGAATTTTCGCTTATTTGCGTGCATGAATCCTCCCGGTGATGTTGGCAAACGGAATTTACCGCCTGGCATAAGGTATGTGCTTTCATGCAAAATCCCTTTATTTATTGAGATTGAACTAAGAACATCGAAACTCCTGTTGTGGACATAGGAGTACAGCTGCAGACAACTGTGTTAAATTCATTTATCCTGAGATCCTTTATCGTATTTTCCGAATCCCACAAGTACTTTCTTGTGAATGCTGATCTGTTTGTGCGCGTTGTCTACGGTTGTCAGCGAACCATGCATTGTATTTTGCTCTGGGGGCCTTATTTCCACTTGCCGCCTCGACAAAACCTTATACTCGGTACATTTTACAGCTAACCTATGCGAATTTTGATAAATTGGCTACGGAGAGATTTTTCCAAGCATCTTTTGCTCGATCATTTTTCGTTGCGCGGCAGGCCTTCGTTCAGTAATTTCGCTAGCTGCGGGGTTTTTGATTTTTTTTGCTTGCGTGTCCCCCAAAAAAGCGTGATTTGGTTTTGATAACCATGATTTTGTTCACTCCCATATTTCGAAAATCAGCCCCCCTACTGGTGCTATATTTTGCCACCTTTTTTTGCGACTTTTTCAATACAACAGATTCAAAAATACGAGAATTGATAAGCAGATTTATGCAGTTAACGGAAAATAATGGACACTTTTAACATTCAATTTTTTTTCCAGAAATAAATTCACAGAAATTTTTGTGCGAGAGACAACGGATTTGGAGCAGTTGCATACAATTGCACAAGCCTATCTACCGGGCACCGATGCTGCAAAAATATTCACTGTTTTAAATATTTATGAAACTCTTCGTGCTAAATTACCAGGAAAATACAGGTACATTTTGCACTTTCAAAAGTTAATCTTAGAAACGATTAGGAAAAAATGTTTTTTCGGGTGGAATTAAAAAATCGGGTGGAGCAGTGAGTGAATTATTGAGTAAATGAAGTATTTTTTTGCACAAACCGTTAATTTTGGAGTGTATGAGATACGTATCACGTGCAGACTTATTCATTCAGATGTTGCGTGCATTTTTTCTGACTTTTATATGTTCTTCTAAAAGCAGCGGTGCTTGAATCAGTAGAATTCCTGGTCAATGCAGCTGGCAATTGTTTTGGGTGAATTAACCGTTACTGCTTTTTTCGATGGTCTGCTTGCTAGAGTAAAAATTTTTATGGGATAAGTGTTTACGTGTGTGGATCGCTGTGTGGCGTGGTGCTCTGAGCG